CAGTGGCCGGAGCGGGGCCCCTCCGGCGGTGGGATGCGGCCGCCGGACCCCGACGGGTCTGAGGCGGAACGGGAGCCCCGGCCTGAGGAGCTCAAAAGTCTCCTTTTCCCCACTTTCTGCACTCCCCGTGTGACATGAAAACTGGGGCGAATTATCTGTCAGGTGCTGTTTCGGAACCCAGTTGAAAGGAATGAGGTGTCTTTCCGAGCTGTGGGCCTGATGGTGCATAAGGCCAGATAGTGAGAGGTGAAAGAAGCGATGGAGGGGGGACCATAAATTCCATAGGAATTCCACTGATTGACACGGACTGTTACTCACTCAAGACTGTGCTAAATCCCTGGATTGACAGAAAAAAGAACAGAGAGAAAAGGAAAAAAAGGTGAGGGAGTACACATTAGAAAGGGGGTCTGTCAGGCAATTGGGGAAGTCTGTATCTCTCAAATACCTCAACCAGGGAGAAAAGAGGGAAATGCGGCCGGGAAATTAGAATAAAAAAGAGGCTATGTCCTTTATCAGTTTGAGAGACCCCAGGGGAAATGCCCCATGGCCTCTCCCTTTATTCGAATAAAGTTATAGGACACCTCTGTCTCCTTTTCGGACATAAACCTCTGGTGTTTGTGGATTAATTTTCCTGACAAGCAGCCTCATTTTTGAGAATTATATATGCTAAGTAAAAATCAAAAGGGCTTTAACTGCGCCTTTTCTATGCCTCTGAAGAGAAACCTCTCGTAGGTAAAATATAAAAGTGTCTAAAAATGAGTTGTAGACTATGTAACTCCTAGTTCCTGTTCTAATGGCTCTCACCATTCTTCCTGTGCAGATCATATATTTGAAAAAGTAAATCCTGAGATGGAAAAGCTGGGATATGAGTGCAAGTGCCTTGGAGGAGGGAAAATTGAACATAATAGTAAAGACAAGAAAATCAGGGTATTTGGGCTCTCAACAGTAAGTGCATCTTTCCTTTTCCTTCAAATGCTTCTGTCTCTGATGCTCTGGAATTTTTGTTTGATTGCATGATGGCTTTTGGCAATTTATATCACATTTTAAACATTAACTGGAAAACTTGCCTGGCTCATTTGTGAGATAAATTAGAAAAACAGTAGTTTGAGGGCCAAAAAGATAAGCTGGTATTACTCAGAATTAGGGTAAGTTAGAATTAAGACTAAAAATGGAAGTTGGCATCTCTTGACTCACAATCTTTCAGTCTTACTGCTGGAGCAGGAATAGCCCATTTGTAGCCACAGGGGATGGATCCAGCTATTGTGTTATGATCTTCATCTGCCAATAAAAATGTTGGTTTGTAGTCACCAACTAAATTGTGAATGTTGTCCTGTGTGTTGGGTGAGAAAAGCAGATACAGTTTAGGTAAATTTTAAGGTGAAAATGTAATAATGCATTTTGTGGGAATAAAAGTAGCATTTTTGAAATCTCTTACTGTTCTGTTTAAGTTCATTTTCTTTGGGGAAGGCTCAGTAAATGGTCAGAATTTCTCTAATTTAGGGAATGGTCTTTTTCTTGTACTGCTCAGTGATGAAGTGTAGCTGCTTCTGTAGTAATAACTGAGTAATACTTCTAAGTTTCTAAAGGAGACAAGAAGAAAATAGTTAAGTTAATGAAATTTTCTATGGAAATTGAGGGTTACTTCAAATCTGCTTACCTTTGATGAGCATTAAAGGCTGGGCCTTGAATGTGTTAAATGTTTTTAAACAGAGCTACCAATTCTCTTAGTGCTGCTTTTGTTCCAAGATGATTCTGGAATCATAAGAAAGGAAAAAATTCCTCATGATTTATGTGAGGTGGGAAAGCAGTGTATAATTCTTATTACACTAAATTCTTCTGATGGTTGGTGTTCATCATGATTGCATTTTTGTTTTACTGCCATGAGGGCTTCTGTCAGGCAGAGACCCTGAGGCTCAGATGAACTCAATCCCAGGTCAGAAGTTAAAATATTAATTATATTGGTTTAATGCTGCTTTGGATTTGAAGCTTTGTTTTCAGACTCTGTAACAGAACCACCTTGGTGTTTTATGGAAACCAGAGAAATATCATTAACTTCTTTTGAAACTCTGCTGCTATTTTTAAGGCTGGATGGGGTTTTCAAAGTGGTTGCCAAGGCAAGAGTGAGCTGTGGATCTGTTGCTTTCCAACTGACATAACTGTATTATCAGTTATTTTTGAAAAGCTTGCATTTTATAATGCATCAACTTTAACCTTTTCAGTTTAAATGCTTGTTTATTTAAGCTGTTCCTCTTTGGGGCCGTCACTGATGAGTAAGAGTATGTTTTGTTTGAGAATATGACCTTGGGCTCTTTTTCAGTCTTCTAAGTAAACTTTCACGTGAAATATTATGGGAAAAAAAAAATAACCTGTAAATCACAGATTTCTGTCAGTATACTGCATTGTTGCTATGTGTAGTTCTGAAATAAGAAATCAAGATAATTCTGATCATGTAAGGCAATAATGGAAAGGCCACTTTGACCACAACTGCTTTAAATTTCAGTGAAAGAGTAACACTGTGACCAGTGATTTTTAAATGAGGTTTAAAAATCACATGGGTCATCTGACCTTACCTTGGAGTTGCAATGGCTGAAGAGTGCAGATACTTAAAACTGTGCTATTATCAGCTAAGGCAAGATGGGAAATAAATAAAACATGAAGACTGTGGTTTCTTTAGTGGTCAGAATAGCGCCCAAATGCTCACACTTGTTTGCTTACTCCCTTTCCTTTCAGCTGAGCCAAATCAGCTGTTTGTATGCTGACATATTAAAGTGGGTCAATGCAATCTCTGTGGTTTAAAGGAACATTCCATAAATACAGTGGTTGATGGGTTTGGAACATTTTATAACAAGCTTTCTGCTGGAGAAATTGGGTGGAAAATGAATTCTCTATTTGACACCATCTCATTTATTTTCTAAGGGGGGGGAATTGGAGAGGATAATAAAATATATTTTAATATATTCAAATATAATAAAATACTATATTTTAATAATAAAAAAGGATATTAAAGGATAATAAAAATAAAAAGTAATACTGCAAGAGTAACTTTTTTAGGAATTGTATTTGATTTGCATGTGAAAAACTCATGTTGATAAGAACCAAATGGTTCTGAAGACTTAATTTCCATGTGCAATTAATTTGTTCTGTCTTGCAGGGCTATGGAAAAGCAGATCACTCAGTGACTGTAGAGATACTGAAGAAAGAGTATACAGATTATGAAATTACATGGTCAGATGACAAGAAGTAAACTTGTGAACACAACAAGCAGTTCCAAACTGGTAACTGAGCTGTACTTGGATAAATAAAACTGAATGTGTGTTCCATGTATGTAACCATAAATCTGGAGTAACTGGACTCTGCCATACTTTATAATATGGTTGATAATCCTCAGATACATCTTATTTTTTAGATCATTCCTTTGTGCAGAATCTGAAGTTCTAACCCTTTTTCCTTTCCTGTTGATGTGTCCTTTAGTTAAACACTCCCACACCATCTTACCTCTAGTTTGTTTTCATCCAGTCCCATTTCACTTATCTGCTGGATGATGAGGATTTACCATCAATTTCAAACTCCACTGGACCAAGCCTGTTCACTGGTCTTTTGACCACAGTGTTTTAAATTTATTTTTCTATTACTTTTTAGGCTTTTCATCTTTCTTACCCACACTTAAAAAAATTGGTGTGGAGGGTGGGGTTGACTGTTAACAGTTCTTCAGCAATGATCCAAATCTTTTATTTACTCAATGATTTTAAAATCTAGTATTTTGCAGAAGTAATGATCAAAATATTTGATTTTCCTGTAAGAACCTTCCCTATAGCAGTCTGATGGCAATGTAAAATTGTGAGCAAAAAGCTTTTTCTTTTCAGCATGCAAGTGACTTCTACAATACAAACCAGGAAATCTGAGAGACTTTAGGCCAGTTTCACCAAAAATCCTGCTGTTACTCCCTTCTTACAGTTGTGATCCATCTTAAGTCACCTTGCTGTGGCTTTGTTTTGGTTGGGTGGAGAGGAATTTTCTGTTCTTATCCTCAAACCTTTCAGTCCAGTCCTCATCAGAAGAGTTCCAGGGGTCTCCATCCCAAAAATCTCAGAGCAGCATCTCCTCAACCTGTTGCTACAGATCTCTTGGTTGGCAGCAGATTCCACCCATTTGGAGCCTGGATTTTCCCCTCCAGCAGCTTTGCCTGCTTTTACATCTGCTCTTTGTGCTTCTCCTTGAGTTCTTGTGCAATGGCTGCACTAGAGATACTGTGGTAATGACTGCAGGATTGATTTTACATAACAAGACTTTGATTTGTGCCTAATAACCAAGAATAGCACACAAGTCAGTAACCTGTAAATGGGGCACTTCCCAGTTCCATTATCATGAGGTTTTTTTCCCCTAAGCTTTAGTGAAATAACTGTAGTTGCCAGTATACAAACCTGGGTTTTAAATAGCCTCATTTCCCAAAACTGGCAAATAGTCTTCAAGTGGAAGTCATCAGTTAGGAATAACTGTGTTAAAACAAACAAGCCTTTCAATTTAGTTTCCTGAGGTATTTAATGAGAGATTTTAATCTTTGTCTTCACAATACTTACAGGAAAGACGTAATTTTGACTGGACTTATTATTGTAGTAACTTGTTCAAAGTGTGAGGTGATGGCATGAGGGGAGAAAAACAGTGATTTGGAGTGAGCTGATCAAAATTGAGTTACCAGCTGATCTCTACCCTTCATTTCTTTATAGAAGAAAGATTTTCATGTGTCACAAAAAAAAAAAAATACTTTGAGGGACTTTCCAGTTCAGTTATTTTTTAGTGCAGTGTCATTTGGGGCACCTTAATTTCCCTGGTAATTAAGTAATACATACAAATGTTACAAAGGAATGAAAAGTTAATTATCACTAGTGGTGAAGCTTTATCAGGTAGAGCAAGCCTTAACATAGATGAGGGAAATCAGTATTATTTGAAGTTGAAACATCAATTACCTACAAAACTAAGTGTTGAATTCTGTTTCCTCTCAGCATGTACCTGCTGAATTTTAAGAACAGAACTCATCTAGAATATGGAAATCCCAATGCCAGTTGTGCTGATTGCACCTGAGAAAAAGCATCCTTCATTTTCTAATCAGAATCTGAAATGGGAAGCTAATTAAACTATGTGGGATTAATTGTTTTGCAGGTGTGCAATGGTAAAATTGTGGCTCTGCCATTCTTCCCTCAAAGTCCTAAAAGTTCTGATTCTGTACTTGCACAAAGCCAGCTGTGTTTGAGCCAAATACTGAGTGAAGGCACAGTAATTAAACCAAAGATGGTGAGTTTGATAGTGGAATATTATCAAGAGGAAATACTATAGTAGAAGATTTTAAGCACCTTCTTCATTTATTCATCCAAAATTACACAAGACTCTTGTTCCTAACCATATTCTTTGTCATAGTAGTCAGCATTTCTTACTACTTCAGGTGTGGTTCTCTGGAACTGCAAGCCATGATTTATTTTAGGATTGAGTTTGAAAAATGACAAATGGTAATCCATTTATTCCCAGTTTCTCCGTTTTCACAGGGGGAAAAAAAAAATAAAAAAGAGCTGTTATCAGTACCTTCTTGATTTGCCAAAGCTAAAACTTTTTTTTGTTCCTAAGTCTGTAGTCAGCAGTTATCATCATAAAGTTTCAGAGCCGGTGCAGAAAAATTCCAAAGCACTGTGGCTGTCATGGCAAAACTGACTTTTTTCCTCCCTCTCCTATTCTATGAGAGGCTAAATTCAGTAGTTTCCAAAGCATCCCTTTCAAATCATCTGGAACAGTAGTGAAGGCTCTTCTGTAAAGTACAGGAAATCCTTTACAACTCAATAAGAGCAGGTTCAAAATAGGAACCTCAGGATTGACTTTCAGCATCTTCAGTGATGGAAACTTGATGGCGTAATTAAAGAGATTTAGATCCCTGCTGTGCTGAGTTTCTTTCCATCCCCTCAGATTATTGTTCCTTCTGCTCTACACTGAATATCTTTGCATCCAGTTTACTGCAGTGGTCACTGTCTCCAGGATTGTATTTCTGCAGGGGCATTTGATAAAGCAGTGCATGATGACAAAAGCTTGTCCAATGGTTTTGGCCAAGGCAAAACATGCAATAGATTTCCTTTTTTTGTTTGAATTGCTGGTGACAGTGCTCAAGACCAGGTTTTGTAGTTCTTTGGGGGCTTGTTTGCATTTTTTGGTAAGGCAATTTTTTCAGCAATATCACTATCTTCAGCCTAGGAGAGTGCCTTGTATTGCAGGCTTTTCTGAGTGCTTTCAAACTGCTGTGAAAAGATTGAAGAGATGTGGATGTTTAGTAGTACCCCTAGCAAATATTGAAAACAGGGCAATTAATTTCTGGAAAAATCTTATTAAAACAGTACAGCAATCTATTAAACTCCTGTAATAGCACAGTTTCCAGTTGTCTCCTAAAGCTCAGTTCTATCATCCTCCACTACTTCATTTGTAGGCTTATTGGTTGGTAGAAAGAGCTTATCTTGTGTAGAATAATCTCTCAAGTCAGCTTCTAAACCAGCATGGCTTTTTCTAATTCCTTGCTGAAATTTTCTTAGCTTACAACAGAATCTGAATGTGAAATTTTAGACCATGGTAGTTAATATTGTTACACTCTTTAAAAGGCTTGAATAAGTCATGTGTGCATTACACATGGAAATATAAGATGGATTTCTGAGATCCCTGGCAGGGTAGAACAGAGTCATAAATACAATCACATCCCCCTCTGCTGGCAAAGCAGCAGAGCTCAGAGCTGTGTGGTCCTGCCTGAATCTGGCTGCAGTTACAACAGTTCCCAACACTTGAGAAAGGGCTCCTGTGCTAATTTTGGATGCTAAATTTACCTCATTCAGCCACAATACATCATGTATCTCATTCCCATGTCATGTATGTCATTCCTGTGATGTACAGTTCTGGTGCTGACAGAGAATGTGAAAGCATGGCTGGAGACAATTGCTTAATCTTTATATATAAATTAATTATCATAAACAGATGCTGCTTTAAGCTGAACTGTATGCAAAGTCAACATCAGAAAAGTCCCTCACTTCTAGTCAGATGCCAGAATTTGTCAAACATTTCAACAACCACCATCCTTAATTAATTAAACCAGAAAAACAGGAAGAAGCAAAGAGACATGAGGATTAAAACATTTATGAGTTATTTTTGGAAGATCAGGAGTTTTAATTTTAACAGCAATTTTTAAAGGCAATTTCCATAATGCATCGCTGCAGACCCTGATCAATTGTTTTAACCATACTGGTCCTAAACACATTTTTCTCTTCAATGAATTTCTCAAAGAGATAGATACCACCACCAACTCCAAAATAATGCACTTTGCTTGCCAAATACACACGGCCATTTCTGTCCAAGAGCTGAGCCAGTGTATCATGCAGAGCACTGTAGTAGTCAGGATTATAGATGGTCTCAGAGGTGAGAATTATATCGTACTTTGAGCAGGGTTTGTTGCTGTTTAACAGGAGCTGGCTGACTTGAGACCACTCTCCAGAAAAAAATCTGCATCTGTTGAGCACATCAGGTGAGCCCTCTGCCTTCCTGGGCCTCTTTGAAGGAGGCTTCCTGGCTTTTCCATCCTTCCCACTGCCCATCATCCTCCTGCCTCCACTGATACAGTTGGCCACCACATTGGGCAAGGTTATTTCATCAATCACTGTGCTGTTGTAGTCCTGAAAATGGACTTGGGCAGCCTCACCCTGTAAAGCAACAATTCCCAGCAATCCAGCCCCACAGCCAAGATCCAATACAGTCTTGTTGGTAAATTTTATTTCAGCCTCAGAAAAGTAATCCACGAGATCGAAGGTGCATTCCCAGATTTTCAGTCCTCCTTCATAGACTCCAGGGATGAGATCAGAGTGAGAAGAAACACTTTTGGAAATGATGCCTTCGCTGTCAGCGTCACCTGAACACGTCATTTCCACTTCAGACAGCTTTACATAAGAAAAGTCCAATACTGTTTCCATGACTTTATTTTCCAATACTTTGTTGAGTTCTTCAGGAATGCTGTGCTCCTTGGCAGCTTTCACACAAAGTTTTTTCTTCGATGCTGCCTCATCCCCGTGCTTAGCAGCAGCCAGCTTCGGGCTGGAGTCTGCTGCAGGATCAGCAATTTCCCTGCTCTTTCCTCTGGATTCCTGCTTGTGCTTTGGAGAGCACAGCAGTAAGAACTGAGCATCTGCCTCACTGTTCTCATTTTCGTCAACAGCAAAATTAAACTGAAAATCCATTTTCAGGAATAACAGTTTTTAAAAAAGCTTAATTTATTGCAGCCAGCTTTTATGTAGGTATTGTTGCAGGGCAGAGTATTTTGCTGGTGCAGTCTTGCCAAGAGCCAGGTGAACTGCTGCTGAAAAAAAGAGTAAATAATTTTATATGTCATTAATATCAGCACAAACCGTCTAATTGTAGCATCCTGATTTTCATTACCAGGCTCCCCCGGGAAGTCGTGGAGTCTCCCTCTCTGGAAACGTTCCAAATCCACCGGGACGCGTCGCTGTCACCAGCTCTGGGTGACGCTGCCTTGGCAGAGGGGTTGGACCGGATGATCTCCAGAGCTCCCTTCCAACCCTAACTATTCTGTAATTTCAAAAACCCGCTCTCTAGCCGCTTAAGTTTACTAAAACACAGCGTCACCCGTGCCTCCATCTCACATACCGCAGGTACAGGCAAGGGAATCGGGACAGCTGCCAACTCCGCTAAAACTCCCATTTCAGCCTCTGCGTTTCAAGGGGCGCAAACCCAGCGCGCAGCTGCGGCACAGGCCGGGTGAGAAGCTCCGGGAGCGTTTTCCATCCCGTTTTCCCTGCCCCGTAGCCGCGGCTGCCGCTGCGGGCCATGCTCCGCTTCTCTCCCACGTGGAGCCGCTTCCGCTTCCTCGGGCGCGGGGCCTTGTGGGAGCGCGGGGCGCCTTTCCCGCCACTGCCCCGCGCTGAGGGGAGGGAGCGCGGCCGCCGCCATGTCCCAGGCGGACCCCGAGCTGCTCCTGCGGGAGCTGGGCGGCTGGGACTGCGAGCTGTGCCGCCGGGAGCTGCCCGCCGTGCTGCCCCGGCTGCTTATATCCTTCCCAGCAGGGCTTTTGGGTGGCTGCGGGAAAGGCGCTGGAGTGGTGGTGGTGGGGGGGGTGTGTGTGAATCCTTCAGAGTTCCGCGGTTCAAGCAGCTGTGCGTGAGGGAGGGCGCTGGGACCTTTGTGAGGGGCTGGGAGTTTTGCTGGAGACGGGTACTGCCTTTCTCTGGAATAAAAGATTCATAGAATCTAGAAAATCTCGTGTGGTTCATTTAGCACTGTAGGTAACTCCCCGACACACCTCCCCTCTCCCTCCTCCCCACCAGAACAAAACAAAAGAAACCAAACTCCCTAAAAAAACCCCAAACCACAGACCACCAAAAAAAACACCAGCCCCCCAAAAACAGCAAAAAAACCCTCAAGATTTACTCTCTAATACATTTTGGAAATACTTTGTTGATCCCGTGGGTGCTCTTGCGTTGGTTATGGAGCATCCCCACCAATTTCATGCGTACATGGGACAGTGCTAGAAGTCACTGTGGCTTCTGCAGGTGCTTTAAAGATATCCTTTATAGCAGAACAAGTTTGATTTTCTTTAACGTTTTTACTCAATGTATCAAGAGTCTGAAGACTGGACTGAGCATATTCGTAAGTAATAGCTAGGAAGTGCCTCTTCCTGTGGAGCTCTGTATTGCAATTGCATTACAATCACCGCAGCACTTAAAATACTTCTGCTACAAGTTTTCAGAGTCTTCAGCAATCCTGCTGGACCTTGCACACTCCACTAACTGTTGAATAAATTTTATAAATGTCTCTAGAGAAACTCTGCATCTAAGGCTGTTTTTATCTTTCTGCTACTTCTGATCTTTAAATACACACACAAAAAAAAAGGTGGTTTCTATCTGGTGTTTTATTGTCTTTTGGGCTGTTATCTTCCGGGTGACAAAGGTGATAGTTAAAAGAAAATGAGGCTCATATGTAACTGTTTATGAGTGTTGCTAAAACTCACTGTTACATTGCATATTATGTTGCATGATAAAACTATTTGCAACTGTTTGCAGTTTGGAATATGGCAAATACAAGATGTGTATGCTGGCAGTTGTGCTCAGCCTTCAACTAAGTTTAGTCAGGTGTGCTGCTATTTTTGGTGGGTTTGTGCATGTTGGGGCTGTTACTTGATTTTTCAGATAATGTATGTGTGTTTTCATGCATTTCAGATGTGGTAAATGCTCTGTTGTCTCTCTCAAAATCAAGTAACTGATCTGTTTTCTTCGTTTCCTCTGGTAGATTGCTGTATATTTCTGAGAATTGCAGATTGTAAATGTTTTTTTTGCAGGTATTTTGAGGATCTTGACTGAAATGTTTTTGCCACATATCAGCCTTGAAGATGTGGAACAAATTTTTTTCTCAAAAGTATTACCTAAGGTAGGAATGTTTTAGTTAACTGTGGAATTGTCAGTCAGTCCAGTGTTAGAACCTGCTTAGATTGCAGTGATTCTTCTTTTGGGGTTGCAAAATACCTATAGGATACAAAAATTGAAATTGTAATTTTACCCCTTAAGAGTTTTCAGTGTTGTGTTGAATTGTTTCTGTGATTTTTCTCATTCTTTACAGTAGGGAGAGAATCAAATATACAAGGCTCTGCTTTCTATATTCAGCAATAGACTTGGGTTTTATTTCTTTCTGAGATTGGGCTTTTTATAAAATGACCAAAGTGGAGAATTTTTAAGTGAGGGACAAGTAAACTGAAGAGCACAACTTTCCCATATCATGAATAAATGTCGTGAAATTTTTGAATTAATGCAGTGAATAAAGTTTTAGACCATACTGACCTCACACATGGTTTTTTTTGATTAAATGATGAAGAATTTTGTGCCATGGTTGTATTAAAATCAGTGCTTGTGTTTTAAGTGAAGCGGTGCCGAATTACTGATTTAAGTTTCTGACCTCAGCTTGTCCATTTTAAGAAGCCAGTAAAAATGGCCACTTGATTTCCCTTTCTCTTATTTTATTTCAAGCAACAAATTTTTTGGGGATTACAAGAAAATTGTCTCATAAGAGGCATATCCTGAAAAAGGATCACTGTACCACTGTTTATTCTGCATGTTCCCAGAAGCACTTCAGCCTTTGCAGTCTCAACAGTAACATTCATCAGACATCCAAAAACCTCACCTGAAGTAGAAATAGATGTTATTTGTACCTCACAGACTTATTTTTTTCTTAATGTATTCAAAATGTTAATAATTATTCTCAACAAATATTTTTTTCTGAGACAAAATGAAAATCTTTTTTAAATTACGTGGTCTTAACTAAGTAAAAAATCTTTGGTAGAATGAGGTTTCAAGCAAATTTCAAGCAAATTAGGTGTGAAGCTTGTTTTAGCAACAGATATTAGAAAAAAATAACAGCCATGATGTCTTCTGTCTATTATATATATATATATATTTAAGTAGTTTTTGCTTCTTGTTGTATCATGCTTTATGACTCAAATGCTGGAGAGTGTTTTCTGCTGTGAGTTCTCTCTGTGCCTCCATGCCAAGGAATCAAGCAGGTGTAGAATGGTGTTTTTATTTGCACGTGTACCTTTGTAAGTAAAATGTTTCAGTTTTGCTGTGTTCTGCCAGACTCTACAGTTCTTTGATAACCTGATGTGTGAATTATCCAGCAAGGCCAAAGGACTGACCAGCCAGAGTACAGAACTGTGCAGCACTGTAAGGAATCTGCTACAGGCAAGTCCCATCACATAAGCTGTCAAAATAATGTTTACATCACTCTTTGCTTTTACCTAAACTACTAAAAGGTTTTTTAAAATGTTTTTGCCAGCTACTGATGGTTTAAATATAATTTAATCTACCTTCATAGCTGAAGTTCAGTTAACATGATTTGATTAGATTTAGCATGTGATGCTAATAATTATAAAAATTATCTCAAATTCTGCTCCAAGTCCCTCCTCCAGATGGAATGTGACTCCCCATATTTAAAGAGTGTACCTGGGACCTGTTTATACAGTCACTTCTGAATTTTAACAGTTTTTTAAATTGAGAACAATAGTCAAAGAAATAAGGAATTTTCACAGAGGATATGGTATCAGAGAACAGCTCTGGAGCTTCATTCATCTTTAAAAAACTACTTATTTATGCAAATAGCTGTGAACTTTAACTGCCATAAAAATCCAGGTGTATTTCAGCTAGGAAAAGATTCTTTTGGAGGTATTTCAGGAGTGATTGATGTTGTTGTCTCTTGCTCTCAGACCGTGGTGCAGCTGCTGGAGACGCTGACGGGCTGCGTGCGCTACCTGTGCTCGGTGCAGGAGCTGTCCCTGCAGAGCATCCACTCCCTCCCTTTCTCCGTCCTCTGTGTGGTAAAGAGCACCTTCACACACTGCAAGGTAGGGCTCTGCTGCCAGCTCAAAAATCCTTGTGCTCCTTGGCTTTTGGGAAACACTTTAGAAGAAGGTTTTATTTTGAAATGATACTGTTGTTGACATCTTATTCTTTTAACTTTAGTTGCTAAGTCGTTTTGATAATGCACTCAATGCACAAATACAAAGATGGTTTTTCAGCTGTCTGCCCTGCTGGTGAGAGGCTCAGACTGGGCTATTTCCATCCTTTGCATCAGAGTTAACTGAACATTCTGCTCATGAGCAAAGTGCTTTGAGGGATCTGTGCAGTCCTGATGGCTACAGTGTTTACAGAGCTACAAATGGCAAATTCCAAAGTGGATTGAAAGGTTTATGTTGGTTACAGTGAGCAGTGTGTATCAGTTTCAGATATGGATTGATCTGGGTTTCCAGGTGCAACAGTAGTTCCCTCTAAGCATTGAAAATAAAACAAGATTATCATAAAGATGCACTAACTTTTGGTTGCCTTTCATTTTCACTTTTAATATTTCTTATGGGAACATTTACATCAGTTTTCCACATCAGGACTCAAACTCAGGTGCCATGTCTTTATCTAGTAATTCTAATTGGAAAGTTTTTGGAATGCTACTTCCTTTGCTGCTGACATTGTCCTGTTTGGTTCAGAAATACCATCTTAAGGGCTGATCCAGAGCCCCCTAAACTCACAAGAGCCAGCCAGATCTCCTTAGTTTCCCATGAGCTACAGCTGCACATAGTTGATATTAAGTGCTCAGGAGCTGTGTATTGACTTAAAGTAGCTACATCTATACCTTGTTCTTTTTTCCAGAGAAATGTATGGTGTTTTCTGCGCGTAAAAATCAGGCTGTGAGTCCTGAGCTCTTTCACAAACCTCTTCCTCCCCGTTTCAGGACAGTGAATCACTGTACTATGGGCACCTGCACTTAATTTCTGACCTCCTACAATCCGTGTTCAAGGAAACTTACTCCCTACAGAAACAGCTGATGGAACTGGTTGATCTGATTTCCATAGGCTCTGCTTCCACTGAAGATGAGATCACCTATATGGTGTCAGGTATACATGGATTTGATACTTTTTTACTCTTGTTCAGTCTTTTATTTTTTTTTCCATGGAGAGTACGTTTGAAGTTTTAAAACAGGTTTCTGAGTGTGCTCAGTTCCTGCTGTCCTGACCAGCTTTTCAGAAAGCAACATTTTGAACTCAAAATATTTCCATTTTTCTCCTGAAAAATTTTTCTTCCTCTGTGGGAATGTT